AGTCAGGCAAGATGACTACAGAACAGCAACTAGCAGCCCTGCAAAATGCAGTGACACAACTCAACGCGGAGGTACTCGCATCCAGGAAAAGGGAAGAGGAAGCGGCTGCCGCCTGCAGGGATCTCCAAGCCAGGTTGGAAGTGCTTGCTAAGCAGGGGCAACCGGGACCCAAATCAGAGGGGATTGGGCTGGGGAAAGAGGAGGCAGCCTGGTATCTCATTTCGATGGGAATTTGCAGCAGTACCCTAACTTCCGAGCAGACGTGCTGTTTGCGCTGGAACTGCTGGATAAAGACTTTAGAGATGAGCAAGAGAAGGTGGGGTTTATCTTGTCCCATTTGCATGGGGAAGCTAAAGCGTGGCTGCGCAATCTGTGGAGAGATAAGGATCCGGCGCTCCAAAATGCGGATGCATTCATCAAAGCGATGGATTCGTGTTTTTTATCAAATATAGACATTGATATCGCCAGAAAAGACATACATGGGCTCAAACAAGGCAGAGCCAGTGTAAGGCAGTACCATTCCCGCTTTTTTGCATTAGTCCATGCGCTGGGATGGGAGAAGGATTCTGCCCCAGCCAGAGACCTTTTTGGGAAGGCTTGAATGCAAATGTGAAAGATGAGATTGCAAGGGGGGAGAGACCAAAGAGCACTCAGGAGGTTGTCCGGCGGGCGCTGCAAATTGGGGTGCGTCTGGAAGAACGTCCATGGAACAGAGAAGAAGGACGTTGGGGACGTACGCCAGTGAGAGCACCTCCCCTCTTTCCCAAGGACGCAGCGCGTGTGCAATCCCCACCTCCGCAAGGAGGGGGAGAGCAACCGATGGAGATTGGAGGCGCCAGGGCTCAGTCAGCAACCAGAGCCTTAACACCGGGAGCAGTCAAAGCGAAGCCTCCTAGAGGGAACAGGAAGTGCTACATCTGCGACAGTGCTCAGCACATGGCGAAAGAGTGTCCCCAGAGGCTCCACAAGCACACTGCAGCCTCAGCAACAGTAACAGAAGCAACTCAGCAGAGAGAACCACAGCAGGGAAACGACAGAGTCTGGTTGGAGGAAGAGGCACTGGGGCCCAACCAGACAAGTCAATGAAGCCGTCCCCAGAGATTTTGCAGCCCACAGACCCCTCCCGCCCAAACCAGTGGTGCAGCTCACAGCATCGCTCCAACTACCCAATGGACTCACTATGGAAGTGCCGATTACCATTGACTCTGGTAGTAACGCAGACTTCATAGGACTGGATTTCCTTCAAGAGCACAACATAGCACTCCTGCCAGCCACGCTGCCTCTGAAAGTTGTCACGGTGGATGGCAGGGAATTGCTGGGGGGGCAGGTGGTGCAGCAAACGCCTCCGATGGTGATGCAAATTGGGAATCACCGAGAAGTCATCAGCTTCAATGTCACCCAACTGTCGGACACGCCTATAGTATTAGGCATGAGTTGGCTGCACAGGCACAGCCCAGCATTGGCGTGGTACCAGCGACAACTGACCTTCGGCTCCTCATACTGTGCGGAACATTGCATTCTGCCTAGCCCGGAAGGGGAAGAGGATGACCCGCAGCTACAATTAGGCACGCTGCAAGCAGTGCCACTCAAGTACGCAGCGTTTTGGAGGTTTTCTGCGAGAAGGAAGCGGACAAGCTACCTCCCCACAGGTCTTATGACTGCAAGATTGACCTCCTGCCAGGGCGACGCTGCCAACCGGGAAACTGTATTCCATGTCTGAAGACGAGCTGCAGGAACTCAGGGAGTTCATAGACCTCAACTTGAAGCGCGGTTTCATCCAGGAGTCGAAGGCAGTGGGGGCAGTCCTGTATTCTTTGTGAAGAAGAAGGACACGCCCCAAAAAGGCTTGTGGTGGACTATAGAATTTTGAACTCGAAAACCAAGCCCACAGCCTTTCCCATGCCCAAGATAGATGACCTGCTCGCAACGGTGAGGAAAGGACGCGTTTTCACAAAGTTGGATCTGCGAGGGCGTACAACCTGATTCGCATACGGGAGGGCGACGAATGGAAGACTGCCATGTTCACGCCCCTGGGCACCTATGAATACAGAGTTATGCCCTTTGGATTACAAAATGGCTCCCACTGTTTTCAAGCCTTCATGCATCACGTATTGGCGGGTCTCCTCTACAAGAAATGCGTCTGCTTTCTGGACGACATCCTGATATTTTCAGAATCAGAGGAGACCCACGAGGGAGACGTCAAGGAAGTTCTGCAGAGACTGCAGGAGCACAGGCTGTACGCCAAGCTGGAGAAGTGCCAGTTCGACATGAAGGAGGTAGATTTCCTGGGCTACAAGTTGTCGGACAAGGGGCTCGCCATGGACAGCGCCAAGGTTCGCTCAGTGTTGGACTGGAAGAGCCCGCGCAATCGGAAGGAGGTCCAGCGGTTTGTCGGTTTCGCCAACTTTTACCGCAAGTTCATCAAGGGGTTCGCGATGCAGACGGCGGCCATTACCGACACGCTCAGCTCCAAGAAGAAGAAGTTCATCTGGACGGAGCAAGCGGAGCAGTCCTTTCAGAAACTCAAGCGTCTCTTCTCGTCCGAAGAGCAGCTACTGCATGTGAATCCCAGCAGACCGATGAGGGTTGAAACGGACGCCTCAGACAGAGCCGTGGGAGCAGTACTGTTGCAGCAAGACCCGCATGGGGACTGGAGACCGTGTGCCTTCTACTCCAGGAAGCTCAGCAAGTCAGAGCAGAACTACACCATCTGGGACAGGGAGTTGCTGGCCATTCATGCAGCATTCAAGGCGTGGCGGCACTTCCTCATTGGAGCCAAACACACAGTGCAGGTCCGCACGGACCATAAAAACCTGGAGTACTGGCGCACGGCAAGGTTCCTGAACCAGAGGCACATACGATGGGCGGAGTTCTTTGCGGATTTCGACTTCAGGATAGAGTACATCCCAGGCGACAACAACATCATGGCGGATGCACTGTCCAGAAAGCCGCAATACCTCGAGGAGGCGGCACCAGCAGCGGCCAAGCACATTTTCGCACCGAAAGCGTGGGCGTGCGCTTCAGCAACCGTGGACCTGGATGCTGTACGTCGAGCACTGCAGGAGGACCCCTTCGCGCAAGCAAAGATGGCAGAGGTGCAAAGGGGCACGGCGGAGGACGACGAGTTCCAGATACGCGACGGATTGCTCATCCGCAGAGGGGCCCTCTACGTACCGGGAGACGACCTCCGCGCGAAGTACTGCAGCAGTTGCACGACGCACCCACCGCCGGGCACTTTGGCAAAGAGAAGACGGTAGAATTAGTAGCCAGAGATTTTGGTGGCCCAAGATGCGGGGAAGTCGCGGATTACGTCTCGAGGTGCGACACCTGCCAAAGGGCCAAGTCAGTGCACAAACCGCCGGCGGGACTGCTCGAACCGCTGCAGACACCGCTCGAACCGTGGGAGAGGGTGGCCCTGGACTTTGTCACGGATCTACCCAGCTCGAGGGGCAAGACGGCAGTGCTAGTGGTGGTGGACATGTTCACCAAAATGGCCCACTTCATTCCGTGCGCGAAGGTGGCCACGGCGGAACAGACCGCCAAACTGTTCATAGACCACGTGTTCAGGGTTCACGGTCTGCCACGGTCTATCCTGTCCGACCGGGGCGACAGTTCATCTCGAACTTCTGGCAGAAGCTGATGGGTTTCCTGAACGTCAAGATCAACCTAGCGTCGGCGAGACACCCGCAGACGAACGGACAAGCGGAGCGAGTCAACGCCATCATGCAGCAGTACCTGCGATGCTACGCAAATCAGCAGCCGGCAACATGGGTGGACTACCTGCCGCTCGCTGAGTTCGCCTACAACAACACGAAGCACGTGTCCACGGGGGTGACACCGTTCTTCGCCAACAACGGGAGGCATCCCAGAACCTTCCCGGGATTAGCGAGAGCGGGGAGGGGAGCCACAGGCAGCGGAAGCCTTAGCATCAGAGTTGCAGGAGGTTCACGAACAGCTTCGGAGGCAGTTAGAACTAGCAAAGCACGCATACAAACTGCAGGCTGACAAGCACAGAAGGGTTGGGGAAGACATACAGGTGGGAGACTGGGTTTGGTTAGCAGCCCAGGCAGTGCCGGCCAGATCGTTAGCGAAGAAGAAGCTAGGGCATAAGCAGCTAGGACCCTACCAAGTCGAGGCACAGGTCAATCCAGTGGCCTTCCGGTTGACACTGCCGGAGGGATCCAGAATGCACCCAGTTTTCCATAGATCAGTGCTCACGCCCTACAAAGCACCTCATAGATTTCAGGAGCCAGGAACGGCACCAGACCCGTTCAGGGAAACGCCCACAAGGGGGTCGCCAAGGCGGGAACCCGTCAACGAAGTCACAGAGATTTTAGACTCGAGATGGGGGAGGAGGGAGTGGAATACCTCCTCGCCAAGGAAGGTACCCGGCTAGCGCCAACAGTTGGGTGCCAGATTATGCTCTGGAGGAATCTTGGCTTAAGGACGAGTTCCATGCACTTTTCCCACACAGGCCCATGCCAGCCGAGTATTTCGACGACTGGCTTTTCACACCCACATTTTCAGCTAGCACATTCCAGGGGTTCACCTCGGACGAGGAACCGGCACTAGAAACACGTTCCCCGGAGGGATCACCCTCGGGGTCTGCCTCAGACCGTTCCTATTGGTGGGACAATCAACCAGAGGAGCAGTGGCGCAGGAAGTGGTTGGGGGGTCCTTGGCAGGCAACGTCCCCGGAGGAGACCGGGGAGAGACGGACATGGACGTGTTGGGGGAGGACCTTGGGTTCGAGCACGGCGGCAAAGAGATGGAAGCAGAGGAAATTGAGGTCGGCGAGAGCACGGAGGACGAGCCGGACTTATCCGGCTGGATGCACGCCACGGGGGACGAACTGTATCCGGCACTCACCCCCACAACGACGGAGCACCCAGTACCCGCACCTGAAGGAGGGGAGGGGGGACGGGGGGGCTTCGAGGGGGGGATGGATGTCAGGGGTTCAGGAGCAGAGGCACAGGAAAGGGAGGAAATAGAGAGCGCGGGGGCGGAGTCCGAAGGAAATGTTAGCGATGACAGCGGTCCGAGGTCTCTGAGTCTTTCCAGCGAATCGGAAGATTCACAGAAAGGGGCTCCCTTGGTCAGAGCAAGGGGGGTGCCGCGGGTGACACCCCAGGAAGAAGGGGCCAGAGGGGACTCAGAGAGCAGCAGTTGGAAATCAGGACCAGCGTCCACACCAGAGTGCAGTAGGGGGGAGGAGTCCCAGGCATCGGGATCAGGCGGCGCACTGCCAGTGGGAGGACATGAGTCAGGATTGGCCACGCCTCCATCGGGGAGCGAGGAAACGGTCGAGAGGAAGGTTGAAGGCTGGGCGCGCGCGCCAAGTTCAAATGTACAGGAGGGCGGCGCAGTTGGCAGCCCGGATAGGGAGCCAGGTCCCAAAGCCCGCCGAAAGAGGGGGAGGAGTCAGGAGGGTCAGCGTCAGAAGAATCCAGGAAGGAAGGGACCCCGGGGGGTAGCAGGACCCAGAGGAGAAAGGAGAGACGTAAGAGGTGGAGTAAGGCTAGAATCTTAAACTGGTGTACAGGGGCGGAGACTCAGATGGAGCTTCGCCGATCTAACCCCTAGACGTAGAGCTGGGGCGCTCCGGCTTGAAAATGGAAACTGTACTTCAATAAAGACTTTTGTACATTACTGCCGGCTAGCGTTGGTCCTCTGTGAGCTGGGACCTGGAGCCAGCTCTGACAATATTTTAATTCCTTTCCGTGCATGTGCATTTAAAATTCTCCATTGCTGAGCGTGTTGACTGAACTTCCAAAAAGGAAAGCAATGGGAACTGAAAGGAAAATTGCCTTGATAGGGCGGTCAACCTTAGCTGCAGATCTCCAGGCTATTTTAAGTCACGGTTAAGAGGGAATGGAAAATATAATATCAATGATAGCTTTCCAATGAGGAAGGGTAACTTGTGTTTATTCAGTTATAAGTCATCTCACACTTCCTTCAGTATCTCAAGAAAAGCACCTGCCTTGAGGTCTTCGTAATATGCAGCTTCATTTACATTTGGTTAATGAATTAATGGGTTATGTGAAATCCTATATGCACTTACTGGTAACTCAGTGGGACTTACTTCTGAAAAACAAGACGCTGAGGATTCAGAGGACATGGTGGACGGCTAGGGATGTTCCTTTAATCCTTGCCTGTTTTTGGTCCTCCATTTGTGTAAGTAAAATATGTCCCATGCCTCCCCCTCCTCTTTAGAGTTCTGTATAGGAGGATAGAGTCAGAAGGAGAAGGCTTAGGTCCCAGCAGTATCCCCTTTCAGCGTGACACACAGTTCACTGCAGTCAACAAACAATCCTAATGAGAACAGTTTTGCAGTTGTCGTACCCGGTGTCAGTTACACAGCTTCTTCTGATAATCCCAGTTCCTCCTCGGCAGGGATACTTGCAGAGGACATTTCCTCACATATTAAGCAATCCTGAAGGCGGCCACAAGACTCCAGTGAAGTATTCGGAAACTAAGCCTCCTCCAAAGATTCGGTGTCTGACAAGCCATTCAAGCAAGGGCTTCTCACAATGTTCATTTTTCTCTCTCCCTCTCACTGTGGTTTAACTGTACAGCAGGAATCATCGGCCTTAGGTTTACTTTATGGTTATACTCATCTGCAACCAGACACAGACGTCTTGAAATAAAGCAAACCAAAACTAGCAACTCTGATTAAAAGCCATACATTTACTTGGACGCAGCCCACTGAATAAGACACAAGGCATATATAGTAAATTTTCCCGACACCACCAGTGAGAAGTCTCTGGGAAAAGACCTTAGAAAACTGCTGTCTTTAGAAGTTTCCTTGACAGTATTGCTTCAGAAACTGTTTCAGCTAAGCTCTGTGAAGTACTTCATAAAATTTTGTACTTTTAAGCACCTGCTTAAGTCACATGGATTTAACTCAGGGATTGGGAACCAGTGGAACTCCAGGTACTGGAGTACAGTTCCTATCTATGACCATTAATCGAGCTAGACAAAGCTGATGGAAATTAGTCCAACTAATATGGAGGCCCACTGGTTCCTCAGCCCTGGCGTAAATTTGTATTTCACTAAGCTGGAACTCAAAAGAGCTACTCTTTAGAGCAGTGGCCCTGAAAGCAAATTAAAACATTTTTAGTTCTATTTGTATGTTCATTTTAAATGTGTTTATCTTGCCTTTCAGCATAAACTTTCAAGGTTTGCATTCCTTTGCCATATAATGTAGAGAAGGGTATTGGGAGGGTGCAACAAAATGGGGTTGACCCAGTTGGGTTTCCATACAGAAGTCTGTCCAACTGGGGAAGTCCAATTTAGACCTGTCATTTTTTGTTATATTTTCTTAGCAGGGTCAGAGTTTATTCTGTTTGCTTTTTTATAGCTTTTCTCAGGCTTTGCTCCTCTGTTATTGACACAGCCAACAATTCTGTGTTCTAATTTGACTCTGGGTTCAGTGCAATTATTTCCTTATAGATCCTTGCCTTTTATTTGCTTACCATGGAGCTATCTGTCAGATTTAGGAGTTGCCACAAAGCTGTCCCAGAGGGTTTGAGAGCCCCCATTGATTCAGGGTGTGATCCCAGGCTGCGAAGACTGCAATCTTATCCTCATTCTTTACTCAGTTTTAATTTACTTCTGACACCAGGAGTCTTAGGCTTAAAGGCTTCAGCTCATTGCAGATGCTGACCACTGCATCAACTTTCCACTGGTTTCTTTGCCTTAATGGAAAAAGTGACATCATGAGACATAGTTTCCATGGGGACAGACAGCAATCACTACTGGTTTCCACGGTGTTGTTTAAGACATGTGCTGATGTTAAGGGAATGAAGAATACACACCCGCCAAGCTATTTGTATGCTGTCTAATCATCTTACAAGTTAAACAGTTTACCTTTATTCCTTTCATTTTCAGAGTCTAATAGATACCAATGAGTCTGTAGGCACAGTGAGACCAAAAAAGATTCCTTCACCCGGTGCTATGCTGTATTATTTGCTTGTGAACAGCAAGCTCTGCAGTACTGGGTTAGACTGGGGCAAGACAGCCAAAATAGAGTGATAGGATTCAGCCAGGTATATCTAAGAGCAGAACATGCATATTTATTATTTCAACAATTTGCATATCATTTTATTGCTGTCATCTCCAAGCAGCGTGCAGGAGACTCAATAGAACAAAACTAAAAATGAGTTAAAACTATAAAAAGCATAATTCAATTAAAAGTTTGCTGAATTTTTTTTTAATCTTCAGTAAGCACCAGACATTCAACAAGGTCATCCATCTCAATACAGGGTCATCCACCAAGGTGACCCAAAGTGGAAGAGCAAATAAACCTCCTTTTAGCAAGCAGGCCAAGGTTAAGGGCTGAATTCTGCTGGACTTATCTGGGGAGATGGATGAGATGCACCACCGCGTGATCTCCCACAGTTCACATGAGCTGCATTTAGTCCAACTTGGGCTCCCACCCAGGGAGTGCGGTAGGTGCGGGCCGCCCTGGGTGTCACCACTGAGGGGGGTGACAAAATGCCAGGCGGTACTCACTGTGGGGCCTGCAGCGCGTCCGAGCCACGCGTCTCTCCTGGGAGTGACGCGGTGGCTTGGGGCCCACAGGCTCCACGCTGCCCCAAACAGTCTGCCCGTTGCTTCCCCCTCAGCTGTAGGGCGGCTGAATGGGAGGAGGCAGGCAGACTCCTCGGAGGCCCCACAGAGCATCCTGCCCCGGTTTGCCCCATCCCGTGGGCAGCTTGGCCCCGCTGCTGCCCCCACCTAGCCTCATGACTGCTATAGGCAATTTCAGGACCTGAACAGGTTGAAAATTCTACATAGCTGCTTGAAAGCCAGTGTGGTGTAGTGGTTAAGAGCAGAAGACTTGTAATCTGGTGAACCAGGTTTGATTCCCTGCTCCTCCACATGCAGCTGCTGGGTGACCTTGGGCCAGTCACACTTCTCTGAAGTCTCTCAGCCTCACTCACAGAGTGTTTGTTTTGGGGAAGGAAGGGAAAGGAGATTCTTAGCTGCTTTGAGACTCCTTCGGGTAGTGATAAAGCGGGATATCAAATCCAAACTCTTCTTCTTCTTCTCTTCTGTCTTCTGGCTGTGAAGTTAAAAATGTACCTACTTTTTTCCAAGGAAAAAGTACTTAGTTAGGATGGGAACAGATGCAGCATAGATAAATAGATGCACTTTAAATAATTGAGTACCAGCATGGGGGTGGTATTATTTTGGGTGTGCATGTCAGTGGCATGTAGACCTGGGGCCGGGGTGGGCAGGACCAGAGTCAAATGTGGGTGGAGCAACAATTGGGTGAGCCTCCCCCTTTCTCCTTCTGCCACTCCTTTCGCCATCCCTTTCCCTCCTCCTTGCCACTTGCTTGAAATTAGGCTGTGGACGCAGCCCTTGGAGCCCAAGTCACCCAACCTGCTGAGCTAAAGAGTGCTTGACTAGGACTGGAGATCCCAGGGTTCAAATCTCCCCTCGGTTCCGATATTTATCTGGATCCAGTCCCAGGGTTGTTGTTAAGATAACATGTAGAGCAAGTCATGCATACTGCCCTGAGATAAAGGTGTAAAGAATAATAAAAGTGTAGTTTATCCAGCCGGCCTGGGAACATCTTTTTTAAAACGAACGCCCAAAATTTGGCACAAAATGGAGTTTTCTCTCGGTGGTAGTACGATCTTTGCGCTCTTTCCACATTTCCCAAACCGGAGAGACATGAGAAAGTTCAATAAAACCCTATCTTTAATTATCCAATATGCATTTAATGATGTTAATACTTCACACTTTCAGGCCCTTAATGCTGTCATGCAGCAGATGTTTGTGGCTGCTGGCATTTTAAGAAATACATTTCAGCCTTGTTTTCAATGTCTATTGTTTAAGACTTGGTTCTCCATCAAGGGCTGAGTCCCAGCTGCTCATGGCCTCTCCCTTGCCTCAGAGAATTCCAGTGGGCTTTGCTGCCTAATAGGTAAAGACCAAAAGGCAACACCAGGGAAGACAAAGACCAAGGATGAGGACAGAAATTTTGGTATTATTCTTCTCTAGATGCTCTCATCTTGTCTAAAAGCACTTCTGTCTGTTTTGCAGTTATCAGCTCTATAGGCCATTTCTGTAAGGTCATCATTTTTATATAGCCCTGGATATTATTACTGTTTACTGTGAATGCTTTCAGGTTTGGTGGTTCTGTTCTTCCCTTTAAGCCATTAATGTGGTGCATTGTGGCAAATTCAAATATTGTAGCTTTGCACATCTTTTCAAATACAACATTTGTGTCATGAAACACTGACAAAATCACATTTCCTTTAAACCTGCTCAAATTTTAAGCACTTTGTACAATTTGTGAAGAAGGGTTAATAAAGTATCTCAAAACAGCAATTTAAAGACTGAGTTTTTCTTTCTCTTTTGTTTTCTTTTTCCTGTTCCTAACATTTATGTACCGGTAACTGCACCAAGGAGGCATTTCAGTGGGAAGAAAGCCCATGCTGTACCCACTTTTGCCTGGGCTGTGTTCCAGGAATTGGATCTGTCCGTCACTTAACAACCTTCCTGCTTTCAAGTGATCTCTTCCTCCTTT